TAACAGTAATAAAGGTTATTAAAAGTTAAGGCCTTGGAAGCTAAGAAGTCATGTTAGACTGTCAATTGTTTTCCCCACGGTGGGAAATCAGTTAGAAGTTAAAAAAAAAAAAAAAAAATCTAGTAGTAGTTTAGTTGTGGTCAAAGAAAGAGTCAGTGGAGGGGTGGGGGAGGTTTCAGCAGCATGCTGTAGAAAAAAAGAGACTTACATAGTCTGGGAGGGCAGTGAAATGGAAGGCGTGGTAACCTCGCTCACTTAGTTGTCATTTTTGATTTTCAATGACATTTTTTTCATTCTTTCGCCTAGTAAAGATGACAGAAGGTCCTAATTTATTATCTGATGTCTATTCCTCTTCCTAGATTTAAGAACGCTTAACTGCATATATAGTCATATAACCCAAATACAAACACTCTGAAAACAAAAACAAACTGAAGCACCGATGTTGCACGCATTCAATTATTATAACTGCACACGCAAACCAAAGATGAGGATTCGGTGGGAAGAACCAGCCTGCAGAGCATAGGCCCTTGGAGGATGGGGTGGGGTGGATTTCCAGTTTTCTCAGATTAAAACAGTATAAGGCAGGAGATCACAATAAAGAGGTAAGCTCTTCCTGATGACATGAGCCATGACCTAGATAAGAGTGCCCAGAAGTAATGTTCACAGGATGGCTCTCTGGTCCACATAGCCTATACGCACAAACAGAGCTGGTCAAAGTGCACATCAGACACCATACTAGACGTTCTCTATGTTATGTGCCTTCTGCTGATGAGGTTAGGCTGCATTTTAGATGATGAGAGAAGTAACATGGACACTTTTATCTAATATGACCTGGCAGATCATTCCAACCCTACACAAGTTAAAAAAAAAAAAAAAAGAAAAAAATGGTGCAATGTAAATTTCTGTTTCTGAATGTTAATTCTACCATGGCCAGATCAGATTAGGCAATGTCATTGTGCCCATGACATTTCCTTCCACTTTTTGGGTTCACTTCGACATATGCTGGGCTGGGGTGCTGAAGGTACTCAGCGAATTTGTGAGTAACTAAATGAAGAGACAGCATAAATTAAATCCCTTGAAGAAAACTGCCAGGGATGGCAAAGGCCCTCAATTCTACAGCTGATATGTACATTCTAAAGAGCAGGAGGGAGTATTAAAAAGAACAGAAAAGATTTTTTTCACAATGGAATGGGAAGGGACCAAGAGAGAACAGAAATAACTGAAAACAAAACAAGCAAACAACAAAAAATCCCCTACAAAAGCAAACAACTTAATGCCAAAGTCAAGTCCTTGCATTGCAAGTGTTGGTCAGTAGCAGAATACTGCGGGAATTTGGATTTTAGTTCTCAAGAGACAGAATATCACATCTGTTCATCTGGTCTCAGACAGTTTCCTATTCTCATGCACAATCTCAAGTAGATCTTTGATAGGTGCATGCTATTCATTCTTTTATTTTTAAAGGAAATATCTCTAGGGGAGACGTAAGTCAAAAGGGATAGTTTGAAATTTAACTGGGATAATTCACAAGATGAACAAGTAAAATGATGTTTAGTCAGCTTCCACAGCATATATTCATTGGACACGTCTGTTCATTTTGAAAAACTAATCTGTTGTAAGAGACATTTTAATCACACCGTAAGAGGTTATTATTATTATTTAAGAAGCAGCAGGGTGGAATACATCTTAGTTCAATTAAAATGGTTAAAAATTAAGGTAACACTAGCATAAAAAGGTTGATGAGTAGCTTCCATCTTTGGGGCTCCCCTCAGTGGAAGTTAACTTCACTATAGGATTGTTCACAGAACGCTGCTCCACTGAGAACACAGAGCAAGGAGAAGACAGTTCTCTGCACCCAGCTTATCAGTGTGCAACTCCAGAGTAATCCCACTCTCAGAGAAACAAACACGAGTGAGTTAGCAGGCAGTCATATCCCTCCAGCATTTTAATGTTAACTTCTTGCCCGGATGGGAGTCTGTGCATGCCAGTCTACAGGGAGCCAGCAGCTACTTTAGGCACAAGGAATCCCCTTCTGTTTGCTAGATCCATAACCCACATGGGTAAGAATGGATCAAGTCTGCCTTGAGGAGGGGCCCACATCAGTTTAGATCACACGTCATCTAGCTCCGTTCTCTGCCTAGGATGTACTGCATATGGGTCTATTTGAAGAAATATAAGGATATTGTATAAAATGGATCTGACTATTCTTTTAAGTGTGTGTTTTCCTGAAGTTGTCAGTCATGACCAAGACTACCAAGCCTACTGATGTTTAAACCCAAAGCCAGACTTGTTGCTATTCTGAGTTGCTTCTTCTTTACAGGATGAGAAAGGAATTCTGATGTTAATACTGATGTTCCCATCGCAGACAAGTACCTACTGAGCAATTTGCTACACTACTCACAAGATTTTTAAAAAAAGCAGTCTTCAAACAAGTTAGATTGCTCACCGTTAGGGCACAAATACAACCCCAGGGAAGCACAGGCACAGGTATTTCTTTCCATGAAAACGTTTTACCAAATATTAGAATCGAGTTGCGGGGGAAGAGGGTGAGCGTCCATGGCTACACGCTTCTGTTTGCAGGCGACTTCTGTTTATTTCCTGCTTAAAAAAAGCCAAAGGACCCAAATGGCCATTTGTTCCTGCTAAGTAAGACCTGCAAAAGCCTGCTCACCTAATTCAAAGAATCAGCTCTTGCTGAACCTCTTCCAGGCATTAGCTGTTTATTCTCCCAGTGCTTATTTCATAAAAAATCAGCCCATCTTTCTCCAGTCCTAGTGACCTACATTCTTTACTTCCCCAAAGCACCCTGCTTCTCCTGCTAACCTCTGCCTCGCTCACTTTTATTTGTGGGACAGTAGGGAGAGGATGGTAATGTTTAGAGTAGTGGAGAAAATACCTCTTCAAAAACATTTTTCCCCTTTTTCTGATCAGATTTAGATGAAATATGGGGCTTGCCATCAACAAAATTACAAAACAATTCCACTGGGAGCCCAGACCATCCAGAATAATTCATCTATGAAAAACCCAACTTTAATTGTTACTCTTGGCAGCAATCTGAGAGAAGAGTGAAATATTATACTAAATATTGCCACGTGCAATAGTAAAATACTATTTCCTTCTTGCCAGAAGCAGTGTCCAGCCCCCTTCAGACTCAGGTTTGGATCTGGTGATTTAGTCTAAACCCTGCTTCCCCCTCTCCAAAACTAACAGAGGTTTTCAAAAGAACTGTGTTTTTATTGGAACCATTTGTTCTTTTTAACATGCCAAAAAGGAATAAGTAAAACTAAGACTTTTATTTGGGTTAAAGTTGACTCCTGAGCTTCATGGAGGTCAATGTACTTAGTCTGTGAAACTTCTAGTAAGAAGATGACTGCAGAGTTGAACCAGTCAAGGTTATGTTTTGTTCCCTTCCTTCCTCCCCCAGTCTCCTGGATTTATACAGTAGGATTTGGGAGCATGTGGAAGCGAATCAAAATGAAACATACATATGGCAAATTACACCCTGGATTTTCTGGAACAAGTGAAACTTCAAATACTTTTGATGCCACCCATACATCTGCAATTTGGGGATCAAACATCTTGATTTGAAGTTCAAAAATGTGATCCCAACAGGTATTCACAACTATTTAGATTAAAGGCTTATGGGACCTTGCTGCATTATCTAGCTTCCAGGGACGGGAAGGTGTTCGATAATACTGAAAAGCAGAAGGAGATTCTTCTTTTTCTGAAAATGGAATAAAGTCTTAATGAAGATGTTGATCAAAAAACTCTTCTATGGGTCTCTAGTTCCTTGGGATATTTATAGGTTTTGGCTTATAACTGAATGAGTTTATAATAAGCTACTTGGGAATAAGATTTTAAATATACATTTTCTGCATAAATATTTGCATACATCAAATACAATTCATTAAAGATATATTAAGATCATATGTAAGATATAATATGTAGATAATATTATTCAACTTCCAAAATATTTACATTGGGGCAGCTAGTGCCCAGCAAAATTAAATGATTTGCTCAGGATTATTTAGCAAGTTACCAATAGATTGAGAATTAGGACCTCAATTTCTAAGTAAATATTCTCTCTGCTATGTAACATTGTATTCCATCCATGTTGTTGTTGTTAGGTGCCATTGAGAGGGATATATAATGATACCAAGAATATTTGGGAGTAAATTTAAATGTGCACATATGATAAAAAGTAATCTTTATTTGTAAATTAAGCTAACACATTGAAACTTTGACATCTGCAACTTGAGTAAATATGTTAAACTTTAAGACATCTGCTTTATAGAATTACTTTCTTTTTCTCATAACATATATTATCTATGACAACAAACAAAATGGAGACCCTTAATAAGACAGTTTGAGGGAACTATAATCTGTATTAGCCATGGAAGAATATTCAGCACTTATTGTTACCTCTTGTGCTATATAACACAATTACACAAAGACTGCATAGGGTAAAGCTTCGTAAGACCTTACATCTACCTTAGCCTGACCTAGTATTTTGTATAATCTCACTTAGAACTATGCCTATTTTTTCTGTTCATGTAAGTTAATAAAAAAACAAAACTTACAAAATTATTAAATTAGCCTAGCAACTAGCAGCATTATACTGAAGTGAACAAGATATATCAGTTATTATTTAAGAGGAAATAGTCACTATAAAAGGTGAAGAATTTTAAAATAACATTGTTATAAATACCACTCAGATAATCAATGACAGCAAATAGTAATCTCATAGGTCAACTAGGAAGCTGGTGAATCTTTTAAAATATTGACCTATGATGTGGGAAGCCAAGGAAATCTGCCATAAATGTGTTATTTTGATTAAAAAAAATTTTTTTAATCTGCCTTTAATTTACTGAAAGATCAAGCTATTGGTTGGTCAACACGAAATTTAAAGTTTCTTTTGAGGGGTTCTATTTCCTGCTCTCCATTTAAAATGGAGGAAAAACAAAAATATTTTGCCTGTGACAGAATATGAAAGAAGTTCTCACCCTTAAAACCAGCAGCATTGGTTTTCCAGTCATTAGCGTTCAAATGTCCTGCACGGGAAGTCCTGACAATAACATGCTGCACATCTCTCCAGGTCAGAAACGGACTGGGGAAAGACAAGGTAAGAATCATTGTACCAAAAAAAAAAAAAAAAAAAAGATGGGGGGAAGCAGAGAGTCACAAGCAATTAAAAAGGCAAAATCAAAATGGCAAAGTACTGAAAACGAAGGGCCAGGACTTTGGGCTTGGGAGGAACAGTCTGACAAATGCTGTTCTTGTTCTCAACATGGAGAAGTGACAATAGGTGGGGAGGGTGGAAAATATAACCTAAAATTTAACAAATAATATGATACTCTTCAGTGTAACCCAGTCTTTGAAAGGGCGAGGATTTCCGGTTTCCTCAACAAAATTGCTGCCAATTGTGGTATCTTCATAGCTTGTGTAAAAGCTCGCATCATCAGTGGAAGATTATAGAGTAAGCTAAAGGCAAAACTGAAACCCTCTGGACCATTTCTTGCTCATTTGTATAGCTAAGGCACTTGATTTGTAATTTACCAAAGAACTTAGCAATATTTAGCCTTCTGCATATATATATGTGAGATATGAAAAAAGCCTCAGCTGAAACCAACTCCATTTTCAGTGTTCTTCAAGGAAGAGGATACTGTATGGAGACCAAAGGTGAGCTCTGCAGTACAGACAGATATGGGAGTATTCTTCACTGGCAATAAGTAATAATTATTTAAGGAGCCCCAGTGGTGCAATGGTTAAGCGCTCGGTTGGTAACCAAAAGGTCGGTGGTTCGAACCTATCCAGTGGCTCCATGGAAGAAAAGACCTGGCAATCTGCTCCCGTAAAGATTACAGGTTAGAAAATCCTTTACGGCGGTACTATTCTGTCAGATGGGGTTGCTATGACTTGGAATCAACTCAACGGCACCTAACAACAACAAAGTAATTATATTAGGAGTCCCTAATGGCACAAATGGTTAAGGGTTAGGCCACTAAACAAAAGGTTGGTGGTTCAAATCCACCCAGAGGCACCTCAGAAGAAAGGCCTGGCATTCTACTTCCAAAAGAGCACAACCATTGAAAACCCTATGGAGCACGGTTCTACTCTGACACACATGGGGCCACCATGAGTTGGAACTGACTCGACGGCAACTGGTTTGGTTTTGGTTGAATAATTATATTAAGTTATTGGCTATCTATTTCTGGTAACTGTTAGCAATGAAGAGCACAAAGAAGCTATTGAGCCAAAGATACATTCACTGAAGAACTGCAGTGCTAATCACAATCATACAGAAAATAAGGCCACATACACATCCGCAGACTTGTTCTCTTGTTTTTCTCTTTTCAATACAAATTTTGTTTTGTAACTGTATAAACTGCTCATCTCTTCATAGACTTGTTCTCTTTTTAAGAATATATGTACACACCCACCCACCCACACACACATATATGCCTCATTGGGGATGCACGAAATTCAAAACCAGTTGAATTTGAAGTGTGACACTCTTATAATTAATTGAGAAATCTGGCAATTGTCCACAGCTTGTGTATCTTTTTTCCCTTTATTTGTTTCTTGTATGCCACCTTAATTTTAGAAGGAATATCTGCAAAGGATGGGTAAGAAGACTTAGGTAAGGGAAGAAAATTACCTGCCTTGAGGGGTGACAGGGACACGAGGTGGTCTCTGTGCGCACTCATGAATGCAGATGGTAGGCACTGGGATCTCTCAGGTGTAGGGAGGACCTAATGTCTTTGTTGTAGCTAATTCTTAATGATGGAGCCTCAACTTCTACGACATTTTTACCATCACATTCACAACATACATGGTTTTGAGGGTGGCCTTCTAATAATAGAGGGCACAGCAATCTGATTCTGGCTCCTCCATTTTCTCTGTGACATTAACCTCTCAGAGTCCCCTCAGTTAGAATGTGAGTGCTAATACCTAATTTACTGGGTTGTAGTAACTTAATGAGTTAAGGTAGTGCCAAGTCCCCCGGTGCCTGGCACATAACAACCTATTAAGAAGTGGTAGATACTACAACATTTTGATAAATTATGAACCACAATTCTTACTTGATAGCTTGAATATGATGAAGACAGGGAGAGAAGAAAAGCAGCATAGAGTTCTTATACCTTTTTCTTATTCCCTCAGATTAAAAATAAAAGCAGAGTGAATACCGCCATTTTCAAAGTTTTCAGAGGGGGCAAGATTGGGTCTAGATTATTCTGTGAGGTTGCTTCAACGAAAGACCTTATATTAATGAAATTAAAAATATGAGAGCAATGAAAACAGAATTATTTTTGTTTTGATACAGCTCTTGTTAGGAACCTCTTTTAGAACCTGATGGTAACTTTCAAGAAAGGAAGAAAGGTTTATGATGGATCCCGGGACAGACTTTCAGGAGGCGGGGAAGTTTGGCTTCTAAAACAAATAGCATGATTTGGCCCTTTGCTGATTAATACTGAATTCACCTGATAATCAGGAGGCTTAATGCACTAATGTTAGGAAAATTAGGCAATGAGTCAAGGGATCATTCTGATGTTAGTCTCAATATAAGATGTTCTAGCACTGCCTGGATGTGACATTATTTCTCTTCTTTCCCACTGCAGTTATTTGGTGAGGGGCAAAAAGAACAACAAAAAAGCTCAGTCCAAAAGACATTTCAGATACTTGTTTATGGTAAAGCAAAATCCTCTCAAATGAACATACATGGTTTTATTTTGTCATGAGTAAATTGCAAAACACCAAAAAAGTACACTTACATTTGGTATGTCAAAATCAACCTAGTGTTTTAAAATAATTTCTGCTATACAACTGAAACTTTCATGTTTAAAATCTTACTCTTTAGAGAAGAAAGAAGAGAAACACGTTTCTCACGTTACCTATCACCAAGGCAGGATTCCTTCAGAAATATCAAGGATAGGGATCTGACCATTGGAAGATAAGTGTTTTCCCCTGTGAAACTTAGCATGAAAATAATCACAAGAAGAAGAGCAGAACAGGGAACGTTTATCTCATACCTTAAGCAGCTGTATTCAGGCAGATTCAAGAAACTTCCTGCATTCAACTCTGCCTGAAGAAATAAGAATTACTTGCTCTCGTGATGAGTTACACAAACTAGTTCTTGGAGTGCATGTAAGTAGAATAAATTAGCTTCAGGAAACTGGAACTACATGTGGAAAGGAGGTATTCAGGTGATTTTACTCTGACATGTTACAATCCACAACTTCAGACTTGATTTTATTTTAAAATTTCCAGAATTTAACCAAAATTAAGTGAGGAAGATGATATGGGAAACCAATGCATTAGGAATCAATGGTGTTTCTACCTGTGTGAGGGTAAATAAATAACTGAGGAAACTTCTAGTAATCAGTTACCATCTAGTCAATTCCACCATATAGTGACCCCATGTGTGTCAAAGTAGAACTGTGCTCCATGGGGTTTTCAATGGCTGATTTTTCAGAAGTAGATCACCGGGCCATTTCTTCTGGGGAACCTCTGGGTGGAACCTCCAACCTTCTAGTTAGCAGCCGAGCATGTTCACCATTTGCACCACCCAGGGACTCCAACTCAGGAAACAGCCCTCGATTAATTTTGATATACACTATTTTTCAGTTATTGCTAGTTTCCTGAGGTGGGGGCAGTGGTGGTTCGGTGGTAGAATTCTCGTCAATTTCCAGCCAATGCACCTCATGCACAGCCACCACTGGTCTGCCATAGAAGGTTTGAGTGTTGTATGATGCTAACAGGTTTCAGTGGAGCTTCCAGGCTAAGACAGGCTAGCAAGAAAGACCTGGTGACCTACTTCTGAAAATCAGCCAATAAAATCCCTGTGGATCACAATGGTCTGATTCATGACCTAACACGTGGATGGTGCAGGATCTGGCATTGCTTTGTTCCATTGTGCATGGGGTTGCCATGAGTTGTGTGGGCTGACTATGTGGCCGCTAACAACAACAACAGTTCCCTGAGAGGACCTTTCCTTATAAGAAAGTCTCCTTCACATTTTATTTCCTATTTATATTTATGCTTACAGCGATGATGCAGAAGTGAAGTCAACTATCAAAGATCTCGTCAGTCATACATAGAGAGAAAGCAGAGAAGGGAAAGCTGAAAACTTCCCTGGGAAGTTCGCTGGGATCTCCATAGTGCAGGCAGTAATGTAGACCCCCTAAAGCTTACCCCCTTTGCCAAATACCTCTTGGTCCACACTCTGTTGACCTCTGAAAACCAAGACCTTTTCACCTCCAAGAAGAGGAAGATTAAGCAATAAAAGCAACAACTGAGCAGTCAGAAGTCTACCTAACTTGAAGAAAAAGAGCAGAATCTCTCAACTCTGAGCCAGGTGACCAGTGCCCCTTAACAAGCCACATGTCATTACGCTACCGAGTGCGGCGATAGTTCAGTGGTAGAATTCTCACCATTCATGTGGGACACCTGGGTTCAATCACTGGCCAATGCACCTCATGGGCAGCCACCACTTGTCAGCCAGTGGAGGCTTGCGTGTTGCTATGATGCTGAACAGGTTTCAGCAGAACTTCCAGACTAAGACAGACTAGCAAGAAAGGCCTGGAGATCTACATCTGAAAAACCAGCCAATGAGAATCCTACAGATCACAATGGTCCAAGCCCATTGTGCACGGGGTCGCCATGCGTCAGGGGCCGACTGGATGGCAGGTAACAACAACGACAAGTTATGCTACATACCCCTCAGTTTTATTCCTGGAATTATGGAGAATTACTCTTAACAATATACACCAAAGGGTAATGCTTATAAATGTCTGCTATTCAAGGCAATAAAAAGAACTCGATTTTCTGGAGAGTTCTCTAAATGTAATCTTTTTTGGTTAAGAAGTTTTGCATCCTTTAATGTCGGAGCCCTGGTGGTGCAGTGGTGAAGGGCTCTGGCTGCTAACCAAAAAGGTTGGCAGTTTGATCTACCAGCCGGTCCTTGGAAATCCTATAGAGCAGTTCTACTCTTTCCCATAGGATTGTTAAGAGTCGGAATCAACTCACCAACAATTAGTTTGTTTTTTTTTTTGGCTTAATAATAACCAACAGTGCCAGGCAGTGTATGTTTTATATGCATTCTTACTG